GAGAGAGAGAGAGAGAGAGAGAGAGCTTAGAAGGTGAGGGAATGTTTTTCTTTTAGTTCAAGATCCATAGGGGCTATGTGATCATGAGGTTTTTTTGTAGTTGGATTAGAGAGAGAGAGCTTAGAAGGTGAGGGAATGTTTTTCTTTTAGTTCAAGATCATAGGGGCTATGTGATCATGAGGTTTTTTTGTAGTTGGATTGGTCATTGCAACGGTGATGGAGAGAGTGAGACATTACAGATCAATACATTGAGTGGACAGTTGATAACTGTCATGATGGGGATTGCATATGTGGTCATGAGATAACAGTATGGGATACTTCAAATCACATGAAAAGAATTTTCTTGTAACAAGTTATTTGGACCTTCTATTTTCACAACTTTTATGTGTTTATAGATCTGCTCAATTTATACTATATTTGAAATTTTAAATTTCATAATTAAGGATAAAAATAGACCTTCAAGCCATTGTAAGGTTTTCGATGTTGGAACTATATATCTGAGCAAATTTTAGATATGCATTTTTACTTTTACAATATGAGGAGGGCGCCTTATACTAACCTGATCTTTTATATTGGAATTCATAGTCCTCTTTATTTTCTATTTTATGCTGAAGTTCGACTCTTTTAGAAGCATATGGTATTTTAATTTTGGATTTTTATCTTATACCTTGATTAAGCTCAAATTTGGGCTGGCCAAATTTCTTACCATCACAACACTCATAAAAATACAAAGAAAATAAATTGAAAGAAACAATGGCCGAAATAACCCTGAAACTTGTAAGTGGTATTTTAGTAACCCTGAAATTTGAGCTTAATATGATAAACATAAAAGAATAAAGTTTAAATAAAATACATGTTCTCGAAAAGTTGGGCTTGAGCCCAAATATAAACTATAGGGAATTATTTTCAATCCTTATAAAAAAATGCAATTTTCCTGGAATTTCCCTTTTTTATATTATAGAATTTAATATGCTAATAAATGACCCATCTACTCAACCTTAGAGAACCCTTTTAGAAACCCATCCTTGTACATAAATGGAAATGGAAAAAAGAAAAGCTAAAAAGAATAAAAATGTTCCCTTATATTTGATATTAGTGGTTTATTTATTTTTAGATGATTTATTATTTTGGCTTGAGTAAAATGACATCCTTTTTCTACATTGCTATGTCTTTGATTTTTTCCAACCATACTTTTTTATTATGGACGCGGTTAGCGTGCGCTTGCAAATGTAGAAATGTGGGCTTGGCAATAAATATATATTTTAAATATAATTTGATCCTAATTTGTACAGAATATATAATCTTTTAACATGAAGATCATGAATATGAAAAAATAAATCAGTTTTGAAAACTAGCAATAATAGTTATATTGAGAAAACATTTGGAACATTAGGTGCAATTTTTTTTAGATGGACCACCTATTTTATCCATCTTAAAAGATGAATGCTTTATACCTTTGGACCGCATATTGTAGAAATGCGGTTCAGCCTGCATGAAACAATTGTTCTTTTATTATTGTGCCGTGTTATATTCAATTCTAGCAGATGAGCTTCATTGTTGTGAACAACAATATATTGAGAGCTTGACTATTTTCTAAAGTAATGATTATTTAAACTTCTGGGAGTCAATCATACTGTATTATGTTTGTGGTTTAGTTGAGTTACATCGAGAATGGGCTAGGGCCTTGGCGATAGTACTAACAAGCCCCATGATAAAGTCTCTCACTCCATTCTCACCAAAAGGTGGGTGCCCAAAGAATCCCCACTGAATTACTCTTTTTTTTTTTTAGTTGAGTTACATTGGTATAATTTTACCAATAAATTATATTTATCAAATTTATCACTCTCCATATTGTAGTTTCTTCTTTTAATGTGTATTTCTATATCATATTGATCTAGTTTCCACTTGTTGGTGATATGTTGGCCAAGATTCTGTTTGTGTTTCTTAGTTATAGATGGATTTGGGAGATGAATTTTGGAATTTCACTGGGTTTTTCCTCATTTTCCTATCCTTGGAATGGGATTTTGTTACGCTTTATTTTTTCATGCAATTTATTTATTTTCAAGAGAACAATTTACTTGCTTTGATGTCATAGATTCATGGTGTGGTCGGTTTGTATTATTCTCTCGCTCTCCCCCCTTCCGCCCCCGCCCTGGTTATCTCTCTTTTGTCCTTTTTTTTTTCTTCATTTTTGTTTATGATGTTGATTCTGCATTCTTCTCTTTCGATCAGGAGGACGAGACTTTATAGAATTGAAAGAGTTCAATGTTCTTGATATGGTTAAGTCGATGGGATGGTGTGGTGAGAATATTTGTTTGGGAATTAGGAGAGAATACATGATACTAAACACCACCAACAGTTTACTCACCGAGGTTTTTACAAGTGGAAGGATTGCTCCACCATCGGTTGTTCCCCTTCCTTCCGGAGGGCTTCTCTTGGGAAGGGTACTCAAAACCTTATTTTCCTTGTTTTTCCATTTTCTTAGAGCGTCTACATTTCTATAATTTTCATTTTAGTTTTTCGGGTTTTCTGGTGTTTTGATTATTTCACATGTATAACCCCAAAAAATAAATGTTATGTTTTCTGGAGTTTGAAAGTGGCCTTTGTGCTTGGTGTGTGCTATTTCATGTGTATCTTCAGAATCTTTATTTGTGATCGTTTACCAATTCTTTTGAAGCTGAAAGGGTTGAATTTTACTCATAGTGAGCCAATGACTGAATTTTTGAGAAAGAGAAAGAACCTTTGTTTAGATAAATTGAAATATTCACAAGAAAATTGTAACCTATCTGAACTGAATTGGATGGGTTATATGCAGCTTTCAAGAATTATGAATGCAATATTTGACTTTTGCTCTTTTTAATCTATCCCTTCCCTCAATCTGCTTTTTCCTGACTTGGCCACCCTTTTATCCCCTCTCTCGATGAAATCTTTGTCCTAACTTTGCTTCCCTCCACCCCAGATGAGTGGCCCCAGCTTAGCTCCTCTAGTGCAGGTTCCTCTCTCTGTGTGACATGGCCTAGGAGTTTCTGACGACCCTTATCTGCTCAACTTCCTACCTTGGGCAGCTGAAACAAAAGTCTCCTCTTGTTTAGACGTAGAACCTATTATTTTGTGGACTCCGATGAAGTCGAGTGACTGGAAAGAGCGGAGGGAGACATCGAACAAGCTCTGCAAGTTCTTGGGGTTCTCCTACAGCAGTCTTGTGGAAGAAATCAGCGAAGCCAGCAAGAATAATGCTAAAGGAAAAGGTAAAAGCGAAGGGAGAGGTTGCAGAGAACTTATTTGCGTCTTGCGCAAGACCTACGAGAAGGTTGCGGCTTCAAATCAGCCCCCCTGGTTCATCCACCCTGCATGAACTCTACCCTAATGCTCACCCAGACGTCTGGCCTCCCCCAACCACTTTTACCAAGGAAGATCTTGATATTGAATATCAGGGTTCTTGGTAAGTCGGCAAAGAAAAATGCCATTTCTGCCTTTGCACGAAGTTGTCAGCCCCAGGTACTTACACTTGTGGAAACCAAATTGGTAGCCCCTTCCCTCGCACACTGAGTATGAGGGAGGCTCCCCTGCCAATGGAAGGCCTTTATGTGCACATGGAACCTTAGTAGGCATTTGGGTCCTCTAGGACCAAAGCATTTTCTTATTGTCATCTTTGTTATCATTGGAGACTATTCAGTCTCAGTCACCTTCATCAGTCTTGAATGGTCTTCAGTGGAAGTTCACAACGATTTCTTGTCTAAATAGACCGACCTTTAGGGAGGTTTTTTCACTGAACTAGGTATGAGTAGCTTCATTGGCCTCGTTTCTCTGATATATTGGAGGGGACTTCAATACCTCAAGGTGGTGCATGAGAAGAACTGAAATGGCCATATCACGGCTAGCTTATTCAGATTTTATTTATATCATATGGGATACATCATGACATTCAGATAAGGAAACTTGGTAGTGGAGTGATGAGGTTCAAAAGGCTATAAGCGAAAAAAATCATTGTACAAAACTTTGCAAAGGAATAAAAATGATCTAAACTTGGAAGAATATAAAAATGCTAAGAAAAATGCTAAGAAAATTTTAAGTAAAGCTAAGATAAAGGCATATGCTGATCTATATAATAAATTGGGGACAAGAGAAGGTGAAAAAGATGTCTTCAAATTAGCAAAAATGTGAATAGGAAGTGTAGGGATCTAGATCATATTAACTGCATTAAAGTGAGGATCAGAGGATCTTGGTGAAGGATGATGAGGTCAATGAAAGTTGGAGAATTTATTTTCAAAGCTAACTAAATGACAACGACTATGGAAGCATAACGTTAGGAGGAACTTTTGACATAAATGAGGTCAGAGATCATAGATACATTTCATAGGATTAAGATATCTGAAGTGAAAGAAGCCTTGAGAAAGATGCTGATAAGAAAGGCTTTAAGATCAGATGGTATCCCTATAGAGGTTTGGAAGTGCTTGGGAGAGATTGGCATATCTTGGTTGACCAAGTTGTTCAATAAGGTTTTGAGAACAAAGATAATGCCAAATGAATGGAGAGAAAATATTGTGATAACTATTTATAAGAACAAAGGATGTATACAGAATTGTATAAACTATTGAGCGATCAAACTTATGAGCCACACTATGAAATTGTGGGAGGGAGTGATCGAGTAATGACTGTGATATGAAATGAGTGTATCAAAAAATTAGTTCGGTTTTATGCTAGGGAGGCAAATAATTGAGGCTACTTTCCTACTTAGGCAATTAATGGAGACGTTCAAGGGGAAGAGAAAAGACCTCCACGTGTTCTTTATTGATTTAGAGAAAGCATACAATGGGATACCTAGAGAATTAATTTGGTGGGTGTTAAAATAAATGAGTCTCAACAAAATAGATTAATACGGTGAGAGATATGTACGAGGGAACACTAACTAGTGAAGAGACAAGTAAGTATTTAGTGACAATAGGCCTACATTAGGAGTTAGCGTTGAGGCCTTATCGTTTTGTTTTGGTTATGGACGAGTTGACTAGGCATGTACAGGATGAAGTACTGTATTGTATGTTGTTTGCAGATGACATAGCTTTGATTGATGAGACTAGAGATGGTGTTAATGTAAAGTTAAGGCTTTAGATGGATGCTCTAGAATATAAATGTTTTAAAATTAGTTGGACTAAGGCATAATGTATAGAATAAAGTTTAATAATAATAGGTATAGAAACAAGGAATTAGTTAAATTGATGTCCGAGAAGTACCTATAAGAGATTCTTCTTTTAAAAAAACGTACTTATAAGAGATTATTTTTGATATCTTGGGTCATTAATCCATGAGATTAGAGAGATTGAGGAAGATGTGACCCATAGAATTAGAGCTAGATAGAAGTAATGAAAAGATTTATGGTGATTTATGGTCTCATTGATGGATAGCCCTTGGTAGAGAGAATGGCGAAACACGATTCATGTAACTGACCTCAAAGAGTTGTGAAAAGGCTCAGATGATGATGATCTGGTAGACCTCTTGTTGAATGGTTCAACTTACCTGGTCCAAGCATTGGGTTGGTCGTATCTTATCCGGTTTCCCTAGAATGGGAGGAGTTATTCTTAGGGGTACATAACACAGTTGTACCAACTCAAACCATACCCCTATCCTGTTTGATATTGAGCCGGGTTCAATGGTGCTAGATGTTGCGGTGCCAATTCTTTCACTTGGCGACCTGCGGCCTTGACGCTCTACCAGTAGCTAAGGGTCAAGTTCAGCCTTCCTTAATGTGCACCAAGTAAGAAAACACACATCACACTCTCATTCATTGCAAGACAAATGTGTTAAGGGCCATATCTCAGTTAATTCAAGCTATACAATTACGAAGTGTACTGCCACAAATGCCCACCAAGGGTTTGAGCCATTGCTATATATAGATACATAATTACAAGCAACTCTATTCACATGGATTGCAGGTGGTGACCAGCCATGGCACATGGCTTGGTCTAGGGCATCTGGCAGCTAGCCATGCAACCCACCTCCTGGGCGGTTACAAGAGTCCATCACTAGGTCAGTTACAACATCCCACAGGTTCAACTTCCACTTTCAAGTCATGTCTCAGGGTGAGGCTAGATGGTTGGTCAGTCTGGGAAAGTCGTGTAAGCGTCTCCATCTTTCTAGTAGTCTATGTCTTGACCGTTTTACGAATCTTTGGTCTAACTTGCACTGCTCAATTTTTTAATTTAATTCAAATTTAGCACCTACCCAGTCTGGGCAGCCTGGTCATTGACTACCCACTGTCCATTTGTGTAACCACAAGGTCATCGCGCTCCAGCCTTCACGCACCATGCTTCTGACAACCCTTGTCTGTCGCGGCCATCCACTCAACCCAAGGCTTGACTTTCCACCCCAAATAGGAGTGTATGTGTAAATTATTGGCCCGCCATGAGTTGGCGCTATTAGATGCCAAGTAGCATAAGTGCATGGCGCTTGTGCGAGAGGTTAGATAGCTGGTTAGTGAATTAGCCAAGGGAGATTCCCTGATTGCACCCTTGACCATCATGCATGCACCAAGTTGGGGCTTGACACTAGGCCACGTAGATTTGAATTATTGATTAAGAGGAAGCACAATTGAGCCAGCTGATTCCCATTCATTGTTTGAAGACCATGGTTGGCTTGGGTTTAGATTGGTTGAAATGCTAAAATTGCTCAAAGAAAAACTGTAGTCAGTGGGCACGCAATCTGCAGAGAAATTTTTGGAAGAGAAGACATTTGTTAAAGGAGGTGATTAGGGAGCTAGATTCAGGAGAAAGGGCCAGAAGGGTGGAGGCAAACAATCGCTATGGCAATGTAATTAAGACTGGCTCAGGCTGGTCGGTCTGGAATGGGAATTGGTGAATGGTGCCCCAACCGGTCAGTTTGGGGGGTCTCAAGCCTGAGGGAGCACTAAATTTGTAAAAAATTGGTCTGAACCGGTCAGTAGAGACTAGGGGGTATTGGCCAGTTCAAAATGGTTTTGACCAATTTCTTTTAAATTTTAGACTTGTCTGACCAGTGAACTATGTAGTTCAACGAACTTGGACTTGACTAAGGCTGTCACCGATACAATGATTGGCTTGGTCTTGATAACACTGAACTATAGAAACATCTTTAAACATGAAGAAATTTATTGGGAGCTTCCTGTGAAAATGGCTTTGTGAGGGGATAGAAACACAAGCTACTCCCACAAAACAGGAAATTGTCGTAGTAGGGCATATACAATCCTCCAAATCAGAGAGCGCACTTGGATCCATGAAGACCCAAGTGATCAAAAGGGTAATAATTGGTTATTTTTAAAAGTTGTTTTTTGGCCCAAGCCAGAGATGGTGTAGGATATTGAACATTTTTTTTTATTTTAACTGCCAGGGGATGGATCCGAGTGGCTTGAGAGACCTTTTTCTGAGGAAGAAATATGCGAAGCATTATTTGACCTTGGCCAGGATAAGGCACC